GGCGGTGGTAGTGAGGTTGGCCCAGGATTGGACATTGTTTCGTTCTGCTGTGCATGGGGTCACTATGAGTCGGTTCCGACTCGATGGCACCTGACAACAAAGCACTGCTGAATGGTTCTGGGTCATTTTCTGTGGCGAGGCCATCCTGTGCGCTGTAGGATTTTTGACAGCATTCTTGGCTTCTTTCTACCCAGGGTCAATAGCATCTCCCTTCCCAGTAGTAACAACCAAAAATGTCCAGACATTGTCAACAGTGAGACCCACCCTGGCGAGAACAACTGCCTTTAAGCATTGTGACAACAACCATGTGAGGTGGCATCCTCTGTCTCTAGAGTCTAGGTTTTGCTCTTGGCCTGGAGCCCTAGCTATTTCCACATACCTGGTGCTCCTTTGGGTCTGCCCCACCCCCTGTCTCCTCTACCAGACTAACCAGCTGGGCATCAGTCCTCCTGCCTGCTCTACCCTCAAATCCAGGTCTGAATCACTGGTCAGGCCCCAAGTAGTAATTACATCAAGATTTTATTTTGTAGGCATCCAAAGGTTTCAGGATAATCAACATGGTTTGTGTGTGATTCGGAACCCCTTGGCGTTCCCTTAAATGACTTTGGCAGTTTACTGTGGTTCTAACTTTGGGGCTGGAACGAATCTTTTTCCCATTATCTCATTTGCTTTCTGTATGAACCCTGGTATTTTTTACCTCTCCTGAGTCCACAGCCTGTGCCTTAGTTTCCCTGTGTGTGGCTGGACTAATGCTGGACTCTTTGCTCTTTTGAGAGCCTTTTTTCCTTTGACAGATATTTCCTGGTTGTTCAGTAAATTCTGGCCCTTTGTTTGGAGAGGCAGCTTGGGGACAGTGGTGAGCTGGAGACTAGCTGCAAGTCCTCCTATGCATTTGTCCAGGTCACCCATCCACAGACCTAGGCATGGGATTTCTGCCTCACATCTGGGGTGGGGCTGATTCCACCTGGACATATCTGGAGCAGTTGGGCTGGCCAAGGACAACATCTTACCTGGAGAGTCAAGGTGTGTGTGTGTGTGTGGTAGGATGTGGGGTGGGGTAAATAGAAACAGAGTCTGGTTCTGCTTGTTGAAGCTGGAGGGCTTCCTGGAGGAAGAGACTGCCGGCTGAGAGTGGGTTGGGTCCAGGATCCTGAAGGACTGGTACTCAAGGGCTGGTGAAATCTCAGGGTTCCTTAGACTGGGCTTTAGAGGAGGCTCTCCGGCTTGAGATCCCATTTGAGTTTGGGGACAGGCTCTAAGGTGAGGGCCATGAGGAGGCTGGTGTGGGAGGAGGGTGTTAAATAGTGGTCCTTGAGAGGGACGCCAAGGCTTCCTTGGACCACACAGGGCGGAGCAGGGAGGCTGCGGGCTTGGGTCTTTTGGGTCCCCAAATCTTCGGCTCTGCATCTTTTCTCTTTTTCTGTTCACGTGTCCACCTCTGTCTCAGTCTCACTTTCTGTCGTTTTTCTTTGCCTCCGCTCATCAGTCCACAAGGACACCAGGTGGAGGCTGCGGTTCCGACCCAGCCCAGAGGAACTCAGTGTTAGGGAGGAAGGGGGGCGGCAGGCGGAGCCGGGGAGGTCCTGGGGGCGGTCCTGGGGCGGTCCAGGAAGGACCTCGGGGAACTGCCGGGCGGGGTTAAAGGGCCAGTGGGCGCGCAGCGCTGGCAGAGCAGAGGTTGCTTGCGATACCTGCAGATCCGGACCGAGACACGCGGGGTGAGTGCGCCGGCGGTGGTGGTCACCCGAGCACTAGAATCCGAGGCGGCACCAAACTCGGTGCCCTGGCGGGGACGCGTATCCCGGGACGCTAAGACCGTCTGCGACGGTCCTGCTTTGTGCACAGTTTTTGCTGTTAGCGCCTCCGTGTGCTACTCGAAGTCCTGGGTGGATCTTGCTCCCCAGGGTTCCGTGGTGGGAAGGGACATCCTGGAGATCCTTCCTTTCATCAGAACATCTCCGAGTGGTCTCAGTCCGACCCCGGTACGCCTCCTTAGGACTGGGGGTCACTGGGATTCCATCAATCCCGTATTGCCTAAAAGGGAGGGTGTGTTCAAGCAGTGAGGTCCAGTACTTCAGGAATCCTCTGCCCACCCTGCTCTGGGCCCGGGCAGAGACTCCCAGCCTGGTGGCGCCTCCAAGTGCACTTCTGTGTACAGAGGCTGTCTGCCGGGTCCCCCTATCCTCATACCTCTTCCTGTCCCTCCTCGGCTCCCAGAAGCCCTGGAGTTGGTCTCCAGGAGGTATTTGTCGGTGGGTGCTGGAAAGGTGATGTTCTTGGGGGTTGGCGCCGGAGAGGAGGCAGACGCTGGACTACGTCTGTCCCTTGAACTAGGGAGTGGACCGAGGCGCACCTGAGGAATTGGTCTCTTTGGTCTGTTCACTCACTCTCGACCTGCATGCATTAATTCACACAGCACTTATGGCGCGAACAGTCCCAGGATATAGGCATTTTCACGGGCAGCAGCTGCAGCAGCTGGAGTCAACTGGGTGGTGGCACCCATCTCCCTACAGGGAATATGAGACTGAGGCTCAGAGAGGGCAAGCAATTGCCCCAGGTCACACAGCTGGCTTAGCCGGAGCTGATAGCTTTAGGTTCCTCTCCAAACTGCTGGCTGGCTCTCCAATGGAGGGACCTCTCTGAGTCCCCCCAGCCATCCTTATCCTACAGGTAGGGAAACTGAAGTCCGGAGAGGGTAAGCAGCCAGTGGGGGAGCTGGGATTTGAACAAAGCAGCTAGCAGTGACCCCAAAAATCCTGGGCACTTTCCGATGGCCCCGGTGTCCCTGTACAAGTCAGCTTGGGTTTCTGAGCAGGTAACATTAGCCCTAGGCTGGTGGCCGGCAGTGACCCAGGTTGGTATCTGAGAGAGGGGTTTGGATGACATTTAGAGAGTGGCCCTTCATCTCTCCTCCCTGGTGAGCTTTGGGCCCGACTTTCCAAATCCAAGATGCCAGAAATAAGAGTCAGCAGGGTTGCAACACACATAGCAGCAGGTGGTACCTTGGATGGAGGGCTCATTATGTGCCAGGCACTGAGCCAAGCATCTTTATCAGAGCCCTTGAGGTGAATCATATGGTTTCTGTTTCACAGATGAAAGACAGACAGACACTCAGCTGAGGCCACAGCTAAGAGGCAGAGCTTTCTAGAATCCTGTTGGGTGCTCACTTCCAGTAGGGATGACACAGAGAGAGGATTCCAGCCTTGGAATGATCTAGAATGTTGGTGTTTAAACTTGTTCTGCCAGGATTGCCTTTGGGTCAAGGAAGCTGAGGCTAGACATTATGCCCACTTGACTTTTCCCTCATTCATCATCAGAAATTTGGGGTGCTGAGTGTGGCTCGGCATTTTGAAGGAATGTCTGGGAGTAGGGCAGCTCTTTGGTGTCAAGTGGCTCAAGGCATGCCATGGACCCCAGATGGGGATGGGTTACCTTGACTACAGTGTGGGAGTGGAATGGAGGGGAGGGTGGGGTTGTAGGCCTGTGGGACTGGCTGTTTGTGAGCTACCATCCGTGTCTTGTATTCCTTATCAGGAGGTCGTACACCTTGTATAACAAGTCCCTGGCCCTTGGCAGGTCCAACCTGACAAACCTGCATCCTGTAGGTGTGGGCCCGACCGGGGAGCCAGTCATCTGGCACCTTCACAGCTAGGTAATGTTGGCTCCAGCAGGGCGGGCAGGACATCTGCTGACTTGGGGATAACAGAACCAAGGTGCCTTCTCTAAGTGTCTGGGGTGTGACTAAGGGCCCAGCAGCCACCACAGCTACCCTGTAGGTTTTAGCTCCACATTTTTCTCATTTCTATGAAATAATAGCTACACAATAGTAATACTGGCTAACATCTTGTGCACTATGTGCCAAGCCTTCTCTGTGCCTTATCTCATAGAACTGTCTCAAACAATCTTTGGAGGGGAGGGCCTGCCATGATTAATCCATTTTATAGACAGGTGTCAAAGCCTGAGGGTGGTGACCGGGGAGCGGCAGAGTCAAAAACTTGCATTTTAAAGGATGATGAAATCTTTAAGAAGAAGTTTTTCATTTTAGTTTGAAATTTTTAAGTTGAAGGATTAATAGGTTCAAGAAGCACATCCCCCTGAAGTGGAAAGCTCAGAAAGTGTCACAATTTGATCTCACACATGCCATCAGCACCAAGATTGTGAGACAGAACCGTTATCAGTCCCGGGAAAGTGCTCCCCGCTTTGAAGCATCTTCATTTATTTATTGTCCAAATTTATGTGTTCAAATCACTATGATGCCATTTCAACTATTGTTGTTAAGTGCTGTTGAGTCAGTTCTGACTCATAACAACCCTGTATAGATAGGGTTTCCAAGGAGTGACTGGTGGGTTTGAACAGAAGACCTTGTGGTTCAAACCAACCTTGCGATCCTGTGCTTTATCCTAGATTTCATGAATTAAGTTCAGCATATCGTGCAACCATTGTTGTTGTTAAATGCCCTCAAGTCGATTCTGACCCATAGCGACCCTGTATAGGGTTTCCAAGGAGCAGCTGGTAAGCTTGAACCACCGACCTTGCAGTTCAAACGACTTTGCAGTCTGACTTAGCCCACAGTGCCACACCAGGACTCCATGCACCATTACCACTATATTTCTGATGTAACTATTTGTTGTCATTAAGTGCCTTGGAGTTTCCGAGGCTGTAAATTCTTTGTCGGAGTAGAATACCTCGTCTTTCTCTCTAGGAGATAGTGGTGAGTTTGTACTGTGGACCTTGTGGTTAGCAGTCCAGTGCTTATCCTACAGAGCCATCATTTTGATGTAATTCTTACATTATCCCAAACAGAAACTCAATACCCCTTTCTTAATTTGCTATTAATTAATTTCAACAAAGTAACGTTTATAATTCATTAATATGAATTTTTGAATGGGCGATATGTATTCATGATAAAGACAATCAAAAGGCCCAGAATGGTGTAGGATAAAAGTTAGGGCTTAGAAAATTATGTATTTATTTATTTGTCATGGGTCCTCCAACCTTGTTTTGTGGCATCTTTTTTTTTTTTTAATTGAGACAAAATTAATCTCATATAAAATTCATTAACTATTTCAAAGTGACCTACTTAATGGCATTTAGTTCACAGTGTTGAGCAAGCAGTACATCTAGCTAGACGTGGTCGTCACCCCAAAGGAATCCTTATACCTTTGTTGTATGAAGATTAAAATCCTTTAGCTTTGTTGTTGTAGTTATTGTTAAGTGCCATGGAGTCGAATCTGACTCACAGTGACCCTGTATAGTAGGGCTTCCAGTGAGCGACTGGTGGGTTTGAACTGCTGACCCTGTGGTTCAAATAGACCTTGTGGTTGAGTACTTGTCTTACAATGACACATTAGTTACTACTCCCGATTCCTTTTACTCCTCTGCCCTCAAAACTACTAATCTGTTTTCTGTAGCTATGCATTTGCCTATCCTAAAGATTTCCTAAGGAGCTCTGGTAGTGTAGTGGTTATGAATCGGGCTGCGAACCGCAAGGTCAGCAGTTCGAAACTACCAGCTGCTCTGCTGGAGAAAGATGAGGCTTTCTGCTCCCGTAAAGATTTACAGCCTCGGAAACCCTGTTCAGGGTCGCTATGGGTCGGAACCGACTCGATGGCACTTAACA